GTGAGACTCCTATCTCCAATAAACCACCAGAAAACCGGAAGTGGCGCTGTAGCTCAAGTGGTAGAGCGCTCGCCTTGAGCTGAAGGGCTGAGGGACAGCGCCCAGGCCCAGAGTTCAAGCCCCACGGCTGACCAAAAAAAAAAAAAGAAATACTTTTTTTTGTCAATACTGGAATTTGAATTCAGAGCCTGTGCTTGCTAGTTGGTGCTCTACCACTTGAGCCACACCTTTAGCCTCTCTTTTTTTTGCTACTTTTAAAAATAGAGTCTTGCTTTTTGCTCAGACTTGTCTGGGTCATGACTCTCCTGTTTAGGGCTTCTGCACATAGGTGTGTACCACTGCACCCAGTTTTTAAAAATATTGGTGTAGATGGAGCTCATTTAACTGTTTTTTTTTTTTTTTTTTGCTCAGAGTTGGTCTTAAACCACAATCCTCTCAATCTCAGACTCCTGAATAACCAGGATTACATCCTGGGTCCCCATGACTGGAAGCCTATAGCATCTAATAACTCAGTGTAACTTCTGACTCTCAGCCCCTATCCTTTCCACTATAAAAAGAAAACGCAGTTAAGCTAAAAAAATTGCTAAATCCCAATTGTTTATTCCTAGTCTATAGAAATTCAATTGCCTTTCTACTGTTTTAATCTTATGATCTTGCCACGTTTATGTACCACTTCCAGGGTCTTTTATGTAGATTCCTTGAGATTTTCTATTTAGATAATTATTTGAGCTGAGTATAAAATGTCTCATTCCTTCCTTCCAATCTATAAGCTTTCTATTTCTTTTTCTTACCATATTGTAATGTCTCGGATTTCCATCAAGATGATGAAGATGGTTATCTGCTTTCTCACTTATTTTATGGGAAGCACTGAACTTTTGCCATTGTGATTTTTGACTGTAGATTTTCTGTAGTTGTTCTTTGTCAGGTTAAGTAGTTAGTTCTCTTCTGTTCCTAGGTTGTAAACAGGTTTTATAATAAATGGATGGTCAGTTTTGTCAAGTACTTTTTCACACCTTTTGAGATGACCATGTGTTTTCTTTTTCATTTTCTTGATGTAGTGAATTACATTGATTCAATTTCCATTGTTGCACAGATGTTCATTCCTGGGCTGTGTTTCACTTGGTTTTATTATCTTATTTATTTACATAATAGATTAAGTGCACTATAAGTTATACAATATAAAGAAAGACCATCTGATCTGTGTGGACAATTACCTTATTTAAAAGATAAATTTGTAGCATGGACAGACAGGACTACCAACTCTCAGCTGACTTTCATTTGAGTTTTTACTTCAATCAGCAGGGCAGTTTCAGCAGATTTGGGGGTGTTTGTTAATGGTTGTTCCACTTTCCTCTGGTTACCAGCTAATATCGTGGTCTTCTTGAGCAGCTGTTTCTAGCTTGCCTTCACCTTCTGTGTTCAAAGGTTCAATTCTGAGGTTTCTGGCTATGACTTTCTTTGGATTTATTCTTTTGGATTTGCTCAGCTTCCTGAATCTGTAGGTCAGCGTCTTAAAAAAAATTAGCAATATTCAGCCATGATTTTTCCAAACGCTTTTTCAGCTCTTGGGCTTTCCTCTCCTTTCTGACTACGCACAGTTACCATTGGTCATGAGGATAGATATCCTTAGATTTCTGTGAAAGATTAAAGTTTGAGGCAGTGACCACCACGTGTTGCTTGTTTCTGTCTAGCAAAGCAACAGGTGGTGATAATCAAAACACCTGGTTGATTGTGTGCCTATATAAGACCTGCAAATCCTTAGCTCGGGGCTCTCCTCCTGGGCTCCGCTATGTCGGAGTGTAGGACGAGGCCCGAGCTGCAGTCCGTTTAAATAAAACAGCTGTAGAGTCTGACTCTCGGTGGTCTTCTTGTGGGGGGGTCCTGTGACCTTGGCATTACATCTGCCCCACAGACCCTTCGGGCCTCCATTAGCTTTTTCTCTGCTGTTTCTCCTGAGGAAACTTGATTTACCTTCAAGTTCACTACTATCATCTTAACATTTCCTTACTAGTACTGAGTCCATTCACTAGCTTTTTGGTAATATCATTCTACAATACATATTAAAGTAACAGCTTTATTGAGGTATGCTTTAAATTATATGCACAAATGTTCCATGCGATGGATTTCATTATATTCAGAATTACAGCTAATTTCAGAATGTTTTCATGACTTCAGAAAAGAAGCCTTGTGCCATTAGCAGTTGATTTGCACTTCTCTTCCTCAAGACTCTTACAACTATTCTGGGCATTTTGTATAAAAACATGGCTTTGTGTCTGGCTCCTTTCACCTGGCAAGTATTTTCAAGGCCGGTCTGCTCTCGAATGTTATTTCATGCTGTGCACACAGTGCTGCTTGCCATCTTCTCAAGCTCCTGGACACTTGGCCTGTCCGCACTTTTGCTTTTATGAATCATTGTGTGGGAGCATCCGTGCCCAGGTTTTTGTGTGAACATAAATTTCCATTTATCTTAGAAATACATATATCTGAGTGTGGAATTGCAAGGTCATAAAGTAACCATTTGCTTTATGTTTTGAAAAATCTGACAAAGGCACAGAGGGATTACAGTTACACAGGTCAGGTAATGGATACATTCCTTTTTGAACAGTGTTACCTCGTTTTCTCCTAGTGTTTTCTCTCCTGGTCCCTCCCCCACAAGTACTACAGTTCATTGCAACATAGTGACTGCTGAGTATCACTGCTGAGTTAGTTCACCCTTTGTCACTCTATTTCTGTGCTTTCCCCCTCCCCTCCCTAAAAGATACTTTCTAACCTCCAACAAAGATGTCAACTACAATTTGTACATATTGTCACCACTAGTTCATTGTAATAACTTGTATTCCTTTGCCAACATTTTCTATTTTTTCCTTTGTTTCAAGAGAATTGACAACCTACTGTGGAGGCATTTTATGGTAGCTATTTTCAAGCCCTCCTGATGAGTCTGATGTGGGGTTCCTCTTGGTCCTGGTGTCAGCAGGTTCTCTGGTTTTTCATGAAATGAGTGACTATGAGTTGTATCTTGGACATTTTGGCTACTGTGTCAATAGCCTCCCCATCCTGTTCATCCTCTGTCTTCACAGGTAGTGTGTCAGGCTGGTGCTTGGTACTGCAGTCTGTGGGCTTTGTTTCAACCATAGTTTATTTCCCAAACCCTCACTCATTCTTCTGGTGTGGCTGTGTCTCCTCCCCTGCCCAGGGTACCTGTGGGTGGAATGCAGCTCCTCCAGGTCTGGAGCCCTACCTTCCGTCCTCGGCCCTCCACGCTGGTGGCGGGCTCAGCCACCAGGCCTGGATGGAGTGTGCAGAGGCTCGGGGACACGGCTCTGGTGGCTGTGCGGTGGTGGGGTCTGGGTAAGGCTTGGCAGAGTCACAGCATGAGAGGAAACTCCCAGCCTGGGCCTCTCGCTCATGCTGGTGATGCTCAGGCCCAGCAACGCCATTGGTTGCTCTGCTCACGGAGACAGAGCTGCTGATCTGCCCTTGGAGAGGCTTGTGCTGTCCCCATTGGCCCTGGGCCAGCGGCAGCTCCTGCGTCTTTACACTTGCCTCTGGGCGTTGCCTCTGCCGTTGCCCCCGTGGAGCAGCCCCCAGAGCCGGCCCGCTCTGGGCTCCGTGGAGTCATGAGGGCTGCTCTCTGGATCCTGGGGCTGGGGTGCTTTGTTCTGGCCCTCAGGGCAGCCCCCGTTGGTAAGCTTCGCCTCTCTTCCCTCACAAGGTTGCAACGCCCAGGCTCTGGGGCTGAGGGCCCGGCTGCGGCCAACCGGTGCTCGTCTGGCTCCTACTCCCCTCCGAGGTTGGGATGTCCAGTGGTTTCAGGGGCTTGGCTCCCGAGGAAGCTTGCGCAGACACTGACTTCAGGGCGAGAGCAGCGCTGGGTCGGCCTGGCGGGGTGACAGTCACAGGCAGGCCACGTCTCCCGGCACGGAGGGTGCTGAGTGCAGACGGCTGTGACCTCCCTGTGGGCAGAGCTGAGCCGGCAGACAGTGGGCAGCCCGGCCATGCCGGCAGCACCGAGACCCAGGGCGTCACCGTGCCAGGGGCGTCGTGAGCAGACGGGAGACCACCAGAAGCCAGGCTGACTGTGCGAGAGGGAGAGTGTATGCGTGTGCATGTGAGTGTGTGTGCGTGTGTGTGCTCATGTGCATGTGAGTGTGTGCATGTGTGCATGTGCATGTGAGTGTATTGCGTGTGCATGTGTTTGTGCGCACGTGAGTGTATGTGTGTGTGCATGTGAGTGTGTGCGCATGTGCATGTGAGCGTTTGCATGTGAGCATGTGCATGTGTGCATGTGCATGTGAGTGTATGTGCATGTGTGCATGTGTGTGCACACACGTGAATGTATGTGTGTGCATGTGTGAGTGTGCATGTGCATATGAGTGTGAGTGTGTGCACATGTGCGTGTGTGTGAGTGTATGTGTGCGTGCGTGTGAGTGTATGTGCATGTGCATGTGAGTGTGTGCGTGTGCATGTGAGTGTGTGTACATATGAGTGTGTGTGTGCATGTGAGTGTATGTGCATGTGCATGTGAGTGTGTGTGAAGATGTGGCAGGTGAGCAGCAGAGGTCAACAACTTGTGGTGTCTTTGAAACAGAGGGAGGTGCATTTAACTGGCTTGTTCTACCATTATCTGGTAAGAATGGTGGTGGGCAGAATCACACTACTGTGGTGTGAATAAGCTGCAAGAAAATGGTCAGGATCTGAGGAAGACAAGGACCCTGTGGCTGTAGCTGGGGCTGCAAGCCACAGAGATTTGTTTTTGTTTAAAGATGGCAGAGACCAGTGCATGTTTCTCCCAAGAAGGAGAAGGCTCGGGGTGGGGTTGGGGGAGGGGGCTAGCAGGAGAGGCAGGGATGAGGGTAGATGGGTGGGGTCACATGGAGGGGCAGGGGTGGGTGGGTGGGGTCACATGGAGGGGCAGGGGTGGGTGGGTGGGGTCACATGGAGGGGCAGGGGTGGGTGGGTGGGGTCACATGGAGGGGTAGTGGTCAGTGGGTGGGGTCACATGGAGGGGCTGTCACGGCCGCCCCTCCTCCCGGCCAGTGCAGTCCACTCCTCTCCCGGGTCTGTCCCTGTGCAGGTGGCCCTGGCGACCTGAGGCTGGCGCACAGGCAGAGCGCATGTGATGGAGTGGTGCTGGTCCAGCGCCACGGGCGGTGGGGGCACGTGTGCAACCAGGAGTGGACGCTGGCCGAGGCCTCCGTGGTCTGCAGGCAGCTGGGCTGCGGGCCGGCCGTGGGCGCCCCTAAGTACGTCCCCCTGCCTGGAGAGTGGAGCCAGCCGTGGCTGCACAATGTGACCTGCCGGGGCAGCGAGCCCTCCCTCTGGCAGTGCAGCCTTGGGGCGTGGAGCCAGAGCGCGTGCCCCCACGAGTGGGTGGTGGTTGCTCTCTGTGCAAGTAAGTAGTGGGTGGGCAGAGAGGGCAAAGGTGGGCTTGGGAGGGGAAGGGGCGTGCAGGCGGCTTGCTGGCGGATGGGCCCCGAATGTCCTGGCTATAAAAGGTGACTTTCTGTTGAACAAGTGCTCAGATGCCAGGTGCTCTGGGGGTGGTAACGAAAGGCCTTCCATGGAGCCTGCCCAGGAGTGCCCGGCAGCTGGGTGAGTAGAGCAGCTGGGTGGAGTGCCATGGGCCCTCGGGAGGGCTCCAGGCCAGCCTGGACCTCCACTCAAGGTTTGCTAAGAATGACCGAGAGGTACATGCTTTCCTTGAAGGTCTGATGTGAGGGTCTTCTGCTGAGACCAGGGGCTTTGTGTCTATGAGCTTGTGAGGACACCCCCAGCATTCCTTCTGCAGGTGGAGGACTTGGCCGGGGCCCTGACGTGATCTTGGGGCCCAGTGCGATGTGCTGGTGTGGCCTTTGTTTAAAAAACGAGCCCTTTCTAGGGGGTGGCTCCATTGGACTTGAACAGGTGCTGTCTGGTTACCAGGTGGTGGCTGCCCCAGGCTGAGGGAGAGGGCCTGTGCTGGCCTGGTCTCAGGGTATTTCAGCAATGGTCTCAGCCCCAGGCCCAAGTGCCCTGAAGCGGTTGCTGTGGCCCAGTGGCAGGCCGCAGACTCCAGGCGACTGAGCGTCTGAGCCTCTGTACTTGGGTCTGTGCTCCACAGAAGGCAGTTTCCGGGAGGTCCGGCTGATGAAGGGTCACAGTCCTTGTGTGGGTCTTCCTGAGATCAGGAACGTGAACGGGGTGGACCGCCTCTGTGGCTTGCACATGGAGGAGGCCACGGTGCTCTGCCGGGAGCTGGAGTGTGGCCACGCGCTCCAAGCCCCCCGCCGAGACGTGGGCGTGGTGGAGAAGTACATGACCTGCAAGGGCACGGAGCCCACCATCCGCACCTGCAGACTCAACAACAACCTGTGCGGTGGCTGCGACCTGCGGCTGGATGCAGAGGTGGTCTGCTCAGGTGAGGACGCCAGACCCTCGGGGCGATGCCTGCCCCTGAGACGGCAGGGGAGGGCTCGGAGCCCAGAGGGTCCTTGGTCTGGTGCCTTTGCAGTTACGTGTCCTACAGGAAACAGAGCCGGCTAAAGGGCCGAGGGAAGAGCTAACTTCTTAAAATTTGGAATCTCTGGCTCATAACTGCCTTTGACAAGGACTAGAGATGGGCCGGCAGGCACCAACTGGACAGATGGAAGGTACACTCAGGCTGCCCGCAGAGACTGTGCCGGGTTGGTTGCTGTGTGCAGAAGCTGTGTGGAGTGTGCTCCGTGCACTCGGGTCTGTGCGTAGAGCCTACGCTGAGCGTGCTCCGTGTACTCGGGTCTGCGTAGAGCCTACGCTGAGCGTGCTCGGTGCACTCGGGTCTGTGCGTAGAGTCTACACTGAGCGTGCTCCGTGCACTCGGGTCTGTGCGTAGAGTCTACGCTGAGCGTGCTCCGTGCACTCGGGTCTGTGCGTAGAGTCTACGCTGAGCGTGCTCTGTGCACTCGGGTCTGTGCATAGAGCCTACGCTGAGCGTGCTCGGTGCACTTGGGTCTGTGCATACAGGCTACTCTGAGTGTGAGTGGCGATGTGTGCCTCAGCTGGCACAAATGCCAGAGTGGAACTGGGCTTTGGCGTCACAGAGTGGTAGCCTGGGTCTGACCATCAGGCTGTGAAGGTCTCTGTGGACAGGCCCCTTCTGGATTGTTTCAGCAGTGAGGGTCGACTGTCCAGCATGTCTGATAGGTAGTAAATCAGTGCCCTGCGGTTGTATTAAGAGGTGGACAGACCTGCCAGTGGCCTGCACCGAGCCCATGCTCGGTGGCCCCAGTGGAGCCTTGCATCTCTGGTGAGGCTGCAAAGAGCGTCGAGGCCACTTGTCTGGACACAGAGAGCCTGAGACAAATGTGAGCACCAGAGCAGGAGGCCTTGACCCCTATCCAAAGTGTGACAGGCCTCTGGCTGTCCTTTTCTGGCTGTTGGCAGACTGCTGCCTGGATACCGACGATTTTCCCACACTGAAGCCTGGTGTGGTTTAAGGTGGCACTCAGGGCTGCTCACCCTAGAACATCTGTCTTCTACCTGAAAGGGTGTTTACTCTCCCAGGACACGTGGAAGCCCGCCTGGCGGACGGCGACCACCCCTGTGCAGGGCGCCTGGAGGTCCTGCGCGGCCTGACCTGGGGAACGGTCTGCGATGCTGACCTGGACCTGCCCACAGCCCACGTGGTGTGCCGGGAGCTGGGCTGCGGGGTGGCGGTGTCCACACCTGGGGGCGCCCACTCTGCCCAAGGCCCGGGGCGCAGGTGGACGGAGGCGTTCCGGTGTGTGGGCAACGAGTCGCTGCTGTTCCACTGCCCAAGGGAGCCGGGGCGCCGGTGCGCACACGGCCAGGATGCCACGCTCACATGCTCCGGTGAGTCCCCACGTGGTTTTGAAGAAGCCCTGGCTGGCGTCCGCCTTGCTGGCCTCCTTCAACCGTCCCCACCGGGCCCAACCTCTAAGGCGCGCTGGCAGACTGGGCTGCGCTCTCGGGGAGGTGGAGAAGAGGGAAGGGACCGGCCCGGCTGTCCCGCGTGGGGCCCAGGGCCGCCTGGAGTCTCTTGTCTGAGTCTGAGGGCCGCGGTAGGGGGATGGTGAGGATCCGTGGGTGGGGATCTGAGGAGGGCAAGGGTTCAGCTCTGTGCCCTTCATGCCGGCACGGGGCGAGGACGGGCCTAGGAAGGCCGCCCGCGTTCTCATGTCCCCGCGCCCCGCGTTCTCGTGTCCCCGCGCCCCGCGTTCTCGTGTCCCCGCGCCCCGCGTTCTCGTGGCCCCGCGCCCCGCGTTCTCGTGTCCTGTCCCCGAGCCCCGCGTTCTCGTGTCCTGTCCCCGCGCCCGTGTCCCGTCCCTGTCCCCGTGTTCTCGTGTCCCCGCGCCCCGCGTTCTCGTGTCCTGTCCCCGCGCCCCGTGTTCTTGTGTCCCTGCGCCCCGTGTTCTTGTGTCCTGTCCCCGAGCCCCGTGTTCTCGTGTCCCGGCCCGGCCCCGCCCGCGCCGGTGGTCACGGCGGCCCCGTCTCCGCAGAGTTCCGGCTGGTCAACGGCAGCCAGGCCTGCGAGGGCCGCGTGGAGCTGCAGGTGCGGGGCGCCTGGGCGCC